TGTGTGTGTGTGTGTGTGTGTGTGTGTGTGTGTGTGTGTGTGTGTGTATTGGTGGGGATTGGTGGGGATTGGTTTCAGAAAGAAACCGTTCCACCTCAGATCATCAGGCATTAAATTTTCATAAGAGCATGCAACCCAGATCTCTAACATGCACAGTTCACAATAGGGTTCTATGAGAATATGTTGCTGTTGCTGATCTGACAGGAGGTGGAACTCAGACAGTAATGCTCAATCACCTGCTGCTCACCTCTTGGTGTGTAGCCCAGTTCCTAACAGGTCACAGACTGGTACTACTCAGCCCTGGGGTTGCAGACCCCTGATATATTGAATAACCATAATTGCTCCAGGGATCCGCAGTGTCGTCTCTGTCATTTAACATTTTCATGTATGCATGAATCTATTTTACTGATTAATGTTTCCAACTTCAGGCCAGTAACATACTGAATTATTAGTGCTCTATGGAAAATCTTTTTTTTGGGGGGGGCGGTCTCACTTTGTTGCCCAGGCTGGAGTGCAGTGGCACAATCACAGCTCACTGTAGCCTCGAGCTATCTACAAGACTCTAGAATAGACTCTAGTAATCCTCCCACATCAGCCTCCTGAGTAGTTAAGACTACAGGCATTTGCCACCGTGCTTGGCTAAGAAAAATCTTGATGTCATCTTTCCTTCTCTAGGAATGTGATCTCTTTATGTTAATTATATATCTTTAACAAATTGTTTTAGGAGAGATTTAAGTTTTTCTTCATTAAGGGTTGTATTCATCTCTCTCTTTTTTTTTTTTTTTTTTTTTTGACAGTTATAGGTAAACCACACTGCCCCACAAATTTTGGTCACTATTAAAGCTCCATTTTAATTTTTAAAAATTATGTACTCTAAATCTTTGTAGCTGGTCCAGTTGCGATTGATTTTTGTCTGTTAGCTTGTATCCAGCTATGTTTTAAGACTCTTATAAATTCTGCTTTGTCTTACTATCTTTTTGGGTTTTTTTTTTTTGTGTGTGTGTATATATAAAACAGTTGTAATTTACATTATATATATATATATATATATACACACACACACACATATATATGTGTGTATGTATGTGTATGTATATATATACATACACATACACACATATTACAAAAGATGATATAACTTTTATGTCTTTTGTAATCATAAATTTTCTTTCTCACTGTGCAGTGCATTTTTGAATTCTAGTGACAATAATGAACATCCCCATCATTTTTCCTATTTTAAAGAAAATAGATCTCTTTAACCATTAATAATTATTTTTGGTATAGGTTTTTGATACATGTTCTTTATCAAGTTAAAGAAGTTTCCTTTTACTTCTAGGTTTCTAAGAATTTGCTTATTTTAAATCAGAGTATTGAATTTTATGAGATGCTTTTTCATTATCATTACATGATCCCATGGTTTTCTTAATGGTAAACTAACATTTAAAGATTTTTATTATATACCTTTGCCTTTCTGGGAAAACCCAACTTAATCATAGTGTATGTATGATATTTTATGAAATACTTCTGACATCAGTTTGTTTTCTATTATTTTTATCTTTAGGAAGTCTTTGCCTATGTTCATGAATAGATTGGCCTTTACTTTTTCCCTTTGTCCTGTTGTCCTTGTCAGGTTTTTGAATTATAGTCGTACTTGATTGTTGCATGGTTTTTTTGTTTATGCTAGAATATTACTGAGAGTTTTGCTTTAAAAAAAAAAAAATCCCACCCAGTGGGTGTCTAAGCAGAGAGCAAGGTATGTCAAGTTTAGAATTTCTCTATCTCCTGAATATATAACCTCATAACTTTTTTATTAAAATCCACATTTCTAAATATGTGTTCATTTCATTCTCTGTTTTTATAGCAATGTACTGGTATAACTATGAAATTTTAAAGAAGTGGTTATGTGAGAAATCTGGTTTATATGAGCCAACATTTATGATCAGCTTTACTTCAGGGGCATTGTCTGGTTCTGTAAGTTTATTCTTTTGTTGTTAATATTCCAGAAAAATAATTGTTGTATTAAAACAGAACAAAATACTATATAGTATGTCATGTATATTGAGATCTTCTTTGACTGCACTGCTTCAAAATTTTTCTACGTATCTTCCATCTATTTTAAGGAAAGAAATTATTAGCAAATAAAATAATTTAAATATACTGATATTTTATGTTTTAATGATGTTACAAATACATTATATTTTTCTAAGAAGCTTTTGGATTTTTTAGATCATTACAATTATATTTTAGAGCTTTATTATTTAGAGCATTTTGTAATGAATTAATTCAATAAATGCTCTGATTAGGTAATATTTCATGCAGTGTTATCTCATATGCATTAAGCACTTCTAGCCTCTGCTGCTGATTCCTGTTTCTTTGGAAACATTTTGTCCTACTAAAGTACTTTTTAAAATAATTCGAACAAAAATTACAATCGGAAGGAATCTTAAATTACCATTTTTGGGTACTAGAAAGTTCATCTTTCCCCATACCTCCTTGTAGAATGATATGAAAGTCTTGCAGTAGACTTTTTTTATGCAGATTTATATCACCATGATGTTGGCAATAGTTTTTTTAATACCCACATACTTCCAAAAATGAATTTGTATTAACTTGTACAATGGCACACTGGAACTACATAAAAACAATAGTGAAGGAGCAGAGTGAAGCGATGAAGATTTGTAGAAAAATATTGTAATAATATCTCAGAAATTCTAGGCCAAGGAAGCCACTGCAGTTGACTTTAAAACTTAGATATAAATATTCCCAGGTCTAAGATCTGTTAAATTAATCCTAGTAGTTTATAAGCCTGTTGAATGAAAAAAGCAATTAGTGTTGTTGAATAATAGCTTTAGGATATTGTACTAGTTTTGCAGAAATAGGAAGGAAAGTACTGTACTATTTCTACTTAACCTAGAAAATTTATTTTTTTATTATTTTTTAAATGATCTAGAAAATTGCTGGCTTTTGACAGTTTTCAAATAAAGGTTTGTTTCTGCAACAGAAAAAAACACCTGAATGTGAGTGTCCAGGCTTTCTGTCAGAAAACAGAACAGCATAAACCACCTCATTTTAGAAAGAGTTTCAAAAAGGATTCATATAACATTGTAGCTACTACATGACAGATTATGAAGATGCAGAAACACTCATTGACTGTACCTTACCTGAAATCTTAAAAGCTGATTTCAGGAAGGTAAATCAACAAATTGTTGGGGTGAAATAAAATGTAAGTGATTTTAAGGGGCATTTTATGAGCATACTGGCCAAATGTGAGTTGGGAGGCAAAAATACATAACAGTTTTAACCTTCCATGGCTGTTGTATCAAATATTGTGAGAACATATTTGAAAGAATTAAATTAGTTTAAAAAAATCTCTCAATTAAGGCTTTGTGGAAATAAATGTAAATTATTTTGAGAAAAGGTTTTTAAAATGTGATTTGCATCCAGCTTTTATCATTAATAGGAAAAAATGTGATTTGTAAACCATTGTAACTATATTTTAATATGTAAATATTTACATAACGATATATTTTAAAAGGTTTATAGAGCTAAAAATTCAAAATTCATTTTCTTTATTTAAATTTAATTTTTCTATTTAAAAAAATATTTGCTGGAAATTTTAAAATGCTTACTAGATACTTAAGAATTTCTGCTTTTGACATATGTGTTGTAGCTCCTTGTGATGTAAAGAAATAATAGAACACAAAGGAGCATGGTAAATTGTGAATGCTAGTATTGGAGTCAAAGAGGTCTGATTGGAATTGTGGCTCTGCAACTAGTAGCTATGTGACCTCAGGAAAGTAAGAAAATTTTTCTGAGGCTTTTTACTTCTTAGTATAGTGAGAACTACATATCTGTTTGCTTTAGGAAAACTTTTTTAAAAATATTTTATTTTAAATCTCGGTTATGATTTTCATTATCCTTATTGAATAATGTATTAATTAGAAGAATGTAAAAATATTTTAGGAGAAATTAAAAGGTTGATTGAAATTTAATCTATTTTACTTTCTGATAGTTTGCAGCTGTTGTAACTTTACCATTTGATGTAGTAAAAACACAAAAGCAGACACAACTTTGGACATATGAAAGTTGTAAAAGTAAGTTTAATTAATTTAAAACTTTTTTAAGATACCATTTTGTTTTTCCTTCCAGATATTATTAGGAAAATCTAAAATAGGAAAACAAGATTTTTTTCTTCTGCATTATTATTTAACTGAAAGTAATATACTGTTAGAATGGAATGCCCAGAAAAAATTCTCTCAACAAAAACAAAAATTTAAGAAAATGTAAAGTCTAATATTTTTTGAATGCCATCAGTTAAGTCTCATACCTGTGATAAAGAAGAAATAATCTTTGTCATTTAAAAGCTAAGTTGTTTTATGGTTTTTTTTCTACGGTTTTCACATCTGTTTCAAATTATTATTTTCATTGTCCTCATGAGTCTTCTTTCAAATAAACCAATAAAATAAATGTAGACACATCAGAATAAAGGATGGGAGATTACTGGGAAACCTTTTTTCTCTTTTTTTTTTTTTTTTTGTTAGTATATATATACATTTTGTTTTTAAGCTTTCTTTTGATTTTCTTCTACCTATTATTCCATCTATTTTTATTTCTTCAGAACCTGTCATTTCTTCTAGAATATAAGTATACTCCTATTTGCTTCTACCAGGATCCCCTTTGTCATCCCTTTAGAAAGTATAGTAAACCCATGGGAAATTGTGTATTACAAAATTATGTAAGTCTTGTGATAAGACTATTATAATGTACATAAATTGTTCTAAAGCATGATTATAATAGTTTGCATAAAAACTAAAATAGGTATTATAAGGTTGAAAGAAGCTGGTTACAGGCCTCTGCAAATGAATCTGATCGATATTGGTGACATCTTTGTCTTTGACTTACCAAATACCTCTTATATGAGAAGCTAATGAAAACCTGGCAGGTAATCACAGTTTTATTATATTAGGGTTCTCCCACTTCTCTGTTTTAGGCATGAGCCTTCTAGAAACCTAAGCCCTATCTGTCCTCCTTTGACAGTTGAAAATTATTTTGTTCTCTTTTCTTCTCATCAGAATTTCCATTTCCTCTCAAGTATAATATTTAATATAGTAGGATTTCACCAATTTATCTTTGGTGTAATTTAGCATAAACAGTTAATAACTCTGGCATTGAGGTGGTGGTGGTCATGGTAGATGATAAGGGAAAAGATGGGAATATGTACAGGTAGATTCAATGCACACTAAAGTTTGAGAGCCACTTACCTTGGTAACTAATCATTGGAGTCAACTGAGGTGCTTATTCAGTATAGCTAAAGCTGGACATTACCCTCAATAGAAATTTCATTTAATGAATCTTGAGGTGGAACTCTAGCTTGTATGTTTTGAAAATGATCCCTAAGCGATTGTGATAGATATATATCTTCATTGAGACTGGCACCAGGGAGCCATCTTTCTTTCTTAGATTTAATTCCTATCTGTCACTGGTTATTTCAATTAATGTTTCCTCATTTAAACTTAAAAGGAAAAATCTTAAATAAGAATTGGGTTTTAATTTTCCATGATTGTCATTGGTAAATTTTAATCCGTTACCTACTTCAGCTATGAACCAGTTACTTAAAAGTTTACTGAGATGTATTGCAGTTGCAAATTGCACTTGTAATTTGAGTGATAAACAATCCATACTTACTATTTGGATTTACATTATTTATCCCCAAGGAGTAACTCAGCTCCCTTTAGATGTGGTTTTTGCTGGAACCTGAGAGGTGGAGGTTGCCGTGAGCTGAGATCTCACCACTGCACTCCAATCTGGACGACAGAGGGAGACTCCATCTCAAAAAAATAAAAAAGTGGCTTCCTTCATTATTCCACAGCTCAGCTATACCAAATCCCTTCTCACTAAGCAAAAAAAGAAAACATGAAGTGTGCATCTAGGATGATAATTCCATTCAAGTATATGATCTGTCAGCCTGCTTAGACCACTTCTTCCATTCTTCATTCGTTAGTCAAGTGTATATACTCTGTCAGGCACCATGCTGGTATATACAGACAAAGGAGACAATTATACAAATCCTCAAAGATCTCATAATCTACTGGAAGAGAGGCTGCATTCAGAAGCATGTTAGCATGTACTAAGTGCCATATCCTGTAACAGAGATAACTTTTACTTTATTTATGAATGTATCATATATTCATTTAAAAAAAATTTAATCTCTGGTTTCAGCTTTTTAAACCTGGCCCAAATTTACTTGTTTTCCAGAGGTTAAACTTCTTTTCTGAACACATTTAATATTTTAAAACACTATTCTTAACTGGACAACAGAACTATAGAAAAAAAATGAAGCACTACTCAAGCAATATTTAATTTTTGAACATTTTAAATATAAATTTTAATATTAAATAGATTTAATAAATATTTACTACACTGGTTTTAGTATTTAAGACAATATTTTTTCTGTATTTCAATATTTCTATATTATATTTCTATTTTCATATAAATTAGATTGTTGGGGAGGATGTGGATTACTGAGAACTTTATGCCATTATGGTAAGAGTATTATTTTGGAACAGCTACTTGGAAAACAGACTGGCAGTAACAGGGAGTGCATTCTGAGTTATCAGTTCCACTGCTAGATATGTGTCCTAAAGAAACTTTTACACATGTACAAGGATATCCACGGCAAGATTCTTAAAAATAGCAAAAAGTTACAAATCACCTAAATGTCCCATGACAGGAAAATGGACAAATCATAATCCATATAATGCAATACAATAGAGCAATTAAAATGAATAAAATATAGGTCTGCTTACTAACATAGATATCCTGAAAGAATACTGCAGAAGTAAATGTGCAGTGTAGTATCATTTATATAAAGTATAAAAGGAGGACAAAGAAGAGTATACATTGTTCTGTACATTCCAGATGTATACAAAGAAGAGTATACATCTGAGATGTTCAGATGTAAAAATCTGAGCAAATGCATGAGACAGATGAAAAAAGAGAGTGATTATCTTTGAGGAGGAGGAAAAATAAAATTGGGGAGCAACATATAGGGGGCTTCAACTGAATCTGAAAGATACAGGTATTATGATATAATAAATTTGGCTGTTTAGTAAATGAGCATTTATTTTTTGTAAGCTTGAAATATTTAATAAAGTGTTTCTTTACAGTGTTAAGAATTTGCTTATTAGCTGTAGGAATAGCTCTTTAACACTGAAAAGTTAGGAGACACTTCTGAGGTTCCACTAGAGCTTGGCTTACCTTCATTTGATACTCTTTGTTATTCTTTTAATTTCACCCTTCTGTTAAAATAGAGACTGGTTTGGGGTGTTAGTTCTACAAGATTAGAAACACCTGCTGCTTGGTCACCATTCTTTGACCAGTTTCCAAAATTTAAATGAAATAATTTAAACATGAAGTAAAAATTGCCAACTTACAGTATATAATTCTTTTCATTGACATTGTTTAGAAAGTTAAACTTCATTCATATTTTGTGATCAGTGTTAGGCTGTTATAGTTACTGTGTTTATGCTTATACTATTTATATTGCTAGTATAGCTTCTTAAATAACTCATAAGGCTTCATTTATCTTCATAGTCAGAGATTCTGATATACAAAGGAATTTTGAAATAATGGCTCACTCTCTATTAAGTGGCAACATTTTTAAAAGTCATATTTGAAAGATACCATTTTATAATCTTGTCTCTCCCAGGCTTTCCTAGTTGTACATAATCTGTTTTAACGATTCAGGGTTGTCTTCCATGTAAACACTGATTTTTGTAGAGTAGCAGGTCTCAAAAGCTACAGAAGACAATATAGGATTGTTTGCCCATCATCCAGCTGGTCTCAAAACAAGACATTGAAATCTTCATCCTGTAAGCTGTCATGTTGTTTATACTTCAATGACATCTACTTTTGCTAAGTTTTTAAAAAAATAGTTTTTTATTCATTTTCTTCTAGATATTTGAGTAGTTGCAAATAAGTGAGATGTTATTGTTAGCCAAAATAAACTCTTTGAAGGAGACAGCACTGGTCTAATTTATTTCAAGAATAAGCATATCAATTTATAAGGGTAGTAATATAACTCAAGACACTGCTAGGGAGAATGAGCTATTTTCCTCAGAAACTCTTTTTAGAAAAAAAGTTTTAAAATTATAATAAAATGTGAATGAAAAATGTTTGTCAGAACTTCTCTTTGGCATTGGATACCTCATGAAGATTTCTATACATTTTTTAAGAGATGGGGGTCTTGCTATGTTGCTCAGGCTGGTCTTGAACTCTTAAGCTCAACACGTCTTCTCACCTCAGCCTCCCAAGTAACTGTGTATACATCTTTTAAAAATTTCATTATAAAAAATGTTTAAGACCTAGAAAAAGTTTAAAAAATACTACCATCAAGTTTAAGAAACAAGCATTATCAAGTTAGGAGAAATCCTCTGTACATTCCTCCTTAATTGTATCCAGTCCTGTACATCTTTAAAAATACAGACTTTTTTTTTTAATTTTTAATGAATCCAGCTATTAAAAATAAGTTAAAGTAGCTTTTTAGTTAAACAAACCTGTTCTTCTTGTAATGAAATGAAATACCCCAGGGCCATGAACACCACTTTATGTGTATTATCTGTATTAGGAATTATTAAATTGTTATTTATAATAGCATTATTTCTTTAACATTTAGTTTCTGTGCCTTTGCATATGTCAACCTGGGTTATAATGAAGAATATTGTTGCTAAGAATGGATTTTCTGGATTATTTTCAGGTAAAAATAATTGCTTTACTGACTCATAGAATAAATACTTTTTAAACCTATCATCTTCTAAAACTAACTTATAGGAGGAAGTTATAAGAAACAATACATCTATTTTTTCCTAAATGTCTTTGTTATAAGTTAAAATAAATGTTAAAAAACAGATTTGCTGTCAATAAGATACAAATTTCTCTATAATATAATATGGATTGAAGTGAGGAGGTTGGGGTGAGCAGTCTTACCTTTTCAACCAATTTATGGATTTAACATATTACTTTATTTTATTTGCTCACTATCAGAATAAAGCCAAATAAATTATATTTTTAAAAATAAGAAAAAAATATTTGTTCTGATTATTCCTATTCTTTTTTCAGGCCTGATTCCTCGCTTAATTAAAATTGCTCCTGCTTGTGCCATTATGATCAGTACATATGAGTTTGGAAAGGCTTTTTTCCAGAAACGAAATGTTCGAAGACAGCAATACTAGCGATGCTGTTTCAACTTGAAATAACAACTGTAGCCCAAAGAAGGTGGAGACTCTTAGGCAAGAATGTTTTTCACTATTATTATAATGATTTTATGTCTGTCTTTCCTATAATTTAAATAAATAATTTCAGCTCTACCTCTTAATTGTAATTTTAAAATAAATTTTATCCTATTTTTGCTGATATTGAAAAAGATATTCTAGAAGTCACAACCATTGAGCATTCTTGTAAAAATAAGAAAAATTGCTCAGCATCAAAAACAATCTCTGAGAGTTTAATATTATGTTTCAGTGTAATGTAATCTTATTGAGAGTGTGTTGAATACACCAGAAATGTGTGCTGAGTGATGTAGAGTCTAGAAGAAAAAAGCCCAAGTCTTGTGCACATTTAAATGATGTACATAGGTATTTCCGTATTTCAGTAGATAAAGCGTCATTAAATAGCATTGTTCACATTTACCAAATATTGCCTGTTTCTATTAATTCAAATACATTAGGTTTCCACCTCCCCCCGCTCCCCACCCGCCCACCATGTTGCTGTTTTAAGGCCTCACGTGTATTAAGATTTCTCTGATCAAAATTGTGGCTGTTTTCTTATGAACCATAATATCATTTTGTGTGATGTACCTTCTGCCATTTTTGATGACTAAATGTTTGTATTTCTACTGTTCCTGTAAGGGAGATTCTACTGATAGTAGCAAATTTTCACTTCAGTCAAACTTGGGTGCTCAGTGGAAAACCACAGAGGATTTAGACTGGTAAAAATTGTTTGCACACAGGAATAGCCTCTGATTTTTAGCCATCTTGTAATCCAAGTATCATTGTTCCTGGAATTCTTTAGGTCATTTTTATTGCCTTGTTCTAACAAGTTAGAGATTATTGCTACAATAATAGTTGCAAAATATTTCTAAAATGCCCTTTTATTTTTATACTTAGTATGGTAGAGGCTAAACAAGAAGTTGTTTCCTTGAAGACACTGCTTTCAGTCACTGTACATATCTAAATAATTTAGCTTATGATTGTATGTAGGAATGAGTTAAAGGATATGATGGCAGGAAAAGAAATGGTATTCATTTTTTTATACTTTAGTTTTGTTTTCTTAGGATTTATATCCTGTTTTTTAAAAACACTTTATTGCAGTTTTTGTTTATTTTAGGAATGTTTGAAGCATTTTTTTCTCCCCTAAAATGAATATATTTAGATGACAAGTCTTCTTTAGTGGCGGTTGAGGAATTAATTGATTTTGTACTATAGTAGGAAAGTGTTTGTATGTTTCGCCAGAAATGAAGTATATAGGGTTTGTATGTAATCTAATGTTATTATTTTATCCTATGTTGATTTACCTTAAATTTGTAACATAGCCCTATAAATATTCATGACTTTATTTCATTAAAATGTTTTATGTCTTCTTAAAATCATCACTGTGCTTCTGAATATTTTTATATAAAATCATTATATAATGTTGTACTGTGATATATATATATATATATGAAAGTTTATCTTGAACAGTGCTCTTTAACAATATTAAATTTATCTTAGTTTTGCTATGCTTATGGATAATTCATAGAAAAAAGCAGATAAACTTAATACTGTACTCCCAAAAGGCAGTTATATATTTTAGTTTAATATCACCTATGAGAAATGTTTCCATGTCTCCTACCCCTCACTGCACTTGAGAAAAATTCTTATTTGTGAATAAATTAAGGTAAATATATCTAATTGCCTAGTAGTTTTTCTAACACATATTACATGCAATGTATCTGGATGAAAAGAAGGCTGAATTGAAGCTTTCTTTATACTTAAGAGGTAAAGAAACATTAATACCTTTAAAATATATTAGCAACCAAAAAGGGTTCAGCATTTTGTCATAATAATAACTTAATTGTTTTATTAAAATAGTACCTAGAAAAATCCAGTCCATGGAATAACTAAATTTTTTAGATTTTAATTTGCTCCCAAAGTTCTGTCTGGTAAAATAATTGAACTATAATTGGCTGATGAATATTTCCAGATTTTACTTCATACTTTTACTTCATTATACTTTTACATATACTTGATTAGTATACAGATTTAACTCTCAGCCATATGGGCTTTCCAGACTTTTCAATACATGTGTTGCAGGAATTGCAGTATTTGCAAACGTGATCTACAACAGTGTTCTTGGTGATGTGATGTTTCTAAAGGAATTTTTATTCTATTACATTTTCTAACATAAACATTTAATTGCTTAAACTTAAAACTTTTAAGAAGGACCATCTTTAATTTTAAATATTCTATGGTTGCAACCCTTAATGTAGTATATGTTTGACTTTTTTAAAAAGGTAAATTTTCTAGGAAAATTATTCACTGTGCTTATTTAACTGCATATGATTTTTAAATTTTTCTCTCTTGGAACAGCACGTACTGGGGTCTGTCAAAGGGTATAGGGTGGGATGAGGGAGAGGATCAGGAAAGATAACTAGTGAGTACTAGGCTTCATACCTGGGTGAGGAAATAATCTGTACAATAAATGACACAAGTTTACCTATATACAAACCTGCACATGTACCCCTGAACTTAAATTCTTCCCTCTTTTGTCTTGGGTACAAGTTTTTGGGATGTAGAAAAGTTTATTGTATCCCTTATTAATTTTCTTCGAAGATGAACTTTTTAAATAAAAAAGATTACTGCTTTTATATTTTAATCTGTCAGAATTGGTACATTGTATGCAGTAAGCAGTATAAAAAAAGCACTGGAGATCAGAAGACATTTCAGATGTTGTTACTGGCCACAGGAGGCTTCAGAGCTATGATGGGTAGAAGCATGCAAAGGGAGTCATGGGAAATATGGGGAGTTGTTCACTCAGCCTGGGTCAGAGAAGGTGAGTGGTCAGGAAACCTAAGAGCTCAACTGATAGGCAATCCAATTATGAAACATGCAAGGAAGTGGGAGTCTCAATAGGCAGTGGAATTTAGTCCATGTGGCTTGAGCAAAGTGTATAAATGGGAGCGTGGTAAGAGATCAGATTGGAGATGTAGTCACGGGCCTTGTGCACTAAAGGAGGAACAAGAAAGCCATGGGAAACCTAGGGAAGACTTTTTCGCCCAGTTTAACAGTTAGATTTGGGCTTTGGAAAGATAACTGGCAGTACGGAAAATGGGACTTATGATAAGGTGATCTATGTTAAAATCTGAAAGTTTTGGTTTGTATTAAAATATACTTTTAAAATGTGCCATGAAAAAGAGGTCATTTTATCTTCCCTTTTCTATCAATCAGTTAAAATGACAAATGCTATAACTAAATTGAAGCTGCTCTGCTTTCAGAAGAGCAGAATGAACCGCTTAAAAAAATTTTGTAAGGCCCTGGAGTTCAAAGCAGTCTTGTGACACCTCAGCGGTAATCCAATGTGTTAGTTGAGCAAAATCTGGACATTTCATCTAATGATAGGAACTTTAACAAAGCAGTTTTCTAAGTTGTAAATTTGGGACATATTTATAACCACTTAAAAACTGTATGTAAATCTAATAAAATAACTGGTGATATACTTTGTCTGCCAATCATAATTAGTAGTAACCTACATTTGGCATTTATCTCTTTAGAACTTTTTTATATATGATTTCACTTAATGCTGACTTCATCCTGATGCCATCTCATAGGTGCAAAGAAGATGATAGTGATGATTCTTACAGGTGAGAAAACAAACATGACAATTTTATAATTAAATCAATAACACTACCAGAACCACTACTAAACTGTGCTGGTTCAATAGATGCTGTGTAATCTAAAACATATCATTTTACTTTTTAAAAATAATAGGATATTTAATTTGATGTGAGTTGAAATGATGACTTCTTCCATCTCACTTTCATGTTATTATTTTAGGTGTGAAATAATATATCTTTACCACATTTGCTGAAACAAAAGTTCAGTATACAAGTTAAATCAGGTAGCTTTTTGTCAAGTAAAATAAGACCAACAATGCATAGTACAAAATTTTTAATATACATGCAACTAGTACGCATCGAGGCAACAGACTACATGTGGGAATATTGGCATATAATCAGCATTCTTTTGGGGCAAGGAGGAGGGTGGACAATAAACACTACCACCTAAAATTAAAAGATTGAGACATACATTGTTTCCTCATGCAAATGGTAACAAACTACCTTTAGTGTGATATGAACTCTGTAGAAACCTGATTTCATAACAGCAGATGAATTTTATAACAAGAGCTCCAAGAAAGGAGGAAAAGTTGTCATGATCCTCAGATGTAATGTCAATCTGCATTTAGCAGCATGTTAAGATGCACAAATTATACATTAGACAAATCTGAAAAATTTTACAATTATGGAATCTTGAATTTCCTTCTACATTATAAAAATGTATGGAAAAAAGCCATTTTTTAATTACTAAAGAATAAATGTCAGTTGAGAGCGGACCATGAATGATAAAGCATTTAAACATACTGATTGATAGTTCATAGGAAAGTAGCAGTAGTGCTCAAGTCCAGCCTAAAATTTTCAAATTTCTCCTTATCCATTTCCTCACTCCCTTCTCCCAGAGTTTCCATTGTTCTCATAGTATACCTTCTTTCCATCCCCCATGCTGATGAAAAACTGCTTTGGATACTTCATTCACAATCAGGTATACAGAATTGAGAAATTGAGAACAGAAATGTATTATTTCTGAAGAATATTTGCATTTCTACAAGTATTGAAGCCTTAAGCTAAAGGAATAAAGCTCTGAATATGTTCTGGCACATCTGTGATAACTTATTTTAAGGGCTTCCAGGCCTTTGTCCCTTAAGCAACACTGTTTGACTGTCTTATATATAAGACTTGCCTTGTACTGTTTATTATTTTAAATTCCAAATTATAAGACTAAGCCCCTAAATGTTGCAGAAAACCACCACACTCCTACATTTCTAATACAAACTATGAATGTCGTAAGCTCAGCCCTTCTTGACTCTTCTCAATAACGATAAACAAAAATATCGTATGAAGTCCCCAATAACTACTGTGGCCTCTTCATGTAAACAATGTATAAAATTTCTTTGGCACAGCTAATCATGTTTTCCTCATATTACTATAGAAAATACATGCCATACTTTTTCAGCATGGTGGAATTTTTAGGGATTAATGTAGCTGTTTCAAAAAAAAAAAAAACAGATTACAACTTAAAAAAAAAAAAAGCTAATTTTACCCATAGAAGTGTGGGGATTTTATTTAACATTAAAATGTTTTAAAATGAGATTATGGTGTGATTAATGATAGAGGCCATATCATTGTTGTACACACAGGAAAAAAAAACATCAATGAATATTAGACATTTATTAAGTATGACAACTGCCCTACTGATCCTTGTTTAAAAGCTTCTCAGATCCTTAACTAAGCGTGAACTCTTTCCTGATAAAACACTTTTTCAACATTTGTTCTACATTATGAAATTTTTCTAGCTTTTGAAGCCTACTTGACTATATTTTTTAATTGATAGTCTTAAGAAAATCTTGGAAAACAATATATATTCATTTTACCAAAATGGCACAAAATACTGTAAAATATTTTTCTTACAGCATTAACAAATTAAGTCAATAACAACCAAAACAGACACATTCCTATGGAATTTATAAAATGTTAAGTGGAATGTTGATACCAAATTATAACTATTAAAGAAAAACTGAATAAGTCATTATGAGAATGCAGCTGAGAACCTTCCCCTGATATTAAAAACAAGGCATGTAAAGCATAGAACTTAGGAGGAAATTAATGAAAAAATGAAATGAACAATTTTTTTTTAAGTATGAAAAAGTGAAAAAATACTTAGCTTAAGTCTCTGAAATAAAACCCTAAACTCAGTCTCTGGCCACTAAGGTATATTTAAATATATAAAAATCAGCTGAACAATAAATATGTACAATTTGCTATGAACTATTTTGTGGATCTTTGATAGTTTTTTTTTTTTTTAATCCTATTCCTTTTTGAACTTCCTCAATGACAAATATAAGAATTTTTAAAATGAAAAATGACAGGATCATTCTGTTTTCACTCAGAATCTTACCTGGAGTGGATTCTCTCTAAGGCAGTAGAATTTCAGACATGTACCAGAACAATATAAAATTTCAAAGGTCTTCCCAGCAGTCAAACATATGTAAATTAAATGTTTACAACATAAAAACTTTTGGCTTTTACATAAAAATTTTCAGGATGGAGTTAGGCCTGGACTTGTCATCTCTGTTGTAGGACTTGCAAGGTAGTCATTAGATTTTAAACTTGTTAGAGACTTGTAACTTGCCACTGATGTTAGAGATCCACAGAGGCCAAGTAATGAGGGAGTATCTTCTTTACCTGAAAATTAGAATTAAATAGCAAATAACTAAATGCCCTTCAGGAATGTTACAAATAAGATCCTAAAACCATTAGAAACTTCCATAGCTTACAAGATATTGCAAATATATGTAATTATTAAAGATATGTTTGCTCTTTTGGTAGTTTCAACGTCACCCTTAAAAAACATTACAAAAGATTATTTGTGCTGCTCATAAAAGTTGTAGATAATGGAAGTTTGAGATACCATGTTTAAAGCAAAAATAAAATATGTGCCTTTTTGGAGAACATGGTCATGTCTGGTTAGTAAAGGATAATAAAAATCTAAATTTAACAGTTAACAGTCCCCAGGCCACAGAAATAACCAGGAAATTCATATTTTGTTACAGCAGTACATTAGAAGAAGGT